ACACAATTATCCACATTTATCCCTCACACATGAATTTACATAGATAAAATGTAGGTATAGTACAATATAAAATCGTGTTTAGTGGAAAATGTACACATATTTCAGCTCGGTGGTGTCAAGGGCTTTGATGGACAGGGGGACAATGTTTAAAACGATGGTGCCTGCAGAGGGGCAACAATCTCCTTAATGTTGACCATATCATCTCCATGTGCACGTACAGTGCTGCACAGAGAGTCAAGTGTGTTGTTCACAGCCGCTTAACAGCAAGATTGAAAGAGGGAGAAAGAACGTTAAAGTGTCAATTTTATATACGTATATGTGCCCAAGTCGACAGAGTGACCTTATCACAGAGAGAGAGAGAGAGAGAAAGAGGGGGACTTCTTGAATGACCTTCAAGAGAAACAAGAGATTTAAACACATGCTGAGAGGAAAGAGAGAGGGAGAGAGCGAGAAAAGGGAGGGGGAGAGAGAAAGAGGGGGAGAGAGAGAGAGAGAATCTCCCTGTCAGAGGGAAGAGCACAGCCGGTGAAAGAAAAAGGACAGAATGACAGAAAGCATACGTGAATAACATGCTGCATTTTTCTCTTCAGCCTGCAGTCACTCTGGATTTTTATTCCAATTAAACCCTTTTTTCCTCATCTGCTCTAGCCCTCCTACCAAGACCCCACATGGTACAGTCCCCCTCTTCACTATCTCTCTTTTCTCTCTCTCTACCTCTCTTGGTCCTACACTGCATAACTCACCTCTTTCTCTTTCCAGTCTCTCCCTTCTTTGTTCCCCTTTGTTTAATCTCTTTGTTTTCATCCTGCATTTACCTTCCTCCTCCTCGGTGGAATTATTCTAATTCAACCAACCGACCAACCATCCCTTGTTCAGTATTTCTCCATTTCACCCCCTCCATCTGTCTACCTTTGCCTCTTTTTAACCATCTCGCCATTGCTCCTTTGTGTTTAGTCACCTTGAGGCAGTGAGGCCACAGCTGGAGGAAAAGCTTCTCTGGTCAACTTCTGCTGCTGATCAATGAACAAAGCCACAGCAGCTCCAGCTGGAAACACAGCAGGAGAAAACAAAGGATCTTCTGCTTGACACAGTTCGAGCAGCGAAAAGCGATGGTGTGATTCTTTTTCCCTAATGTGACAATCACAGTGATTTGAAGAAAAGTGAAGGATGTGGTTTATTCCACCGCTGATAAAGTGGATCTCACTGTGTTCTGTTGTCCTTCATAGAGAAGGATTATTACGATGATTATCAGGCTTTGTCTGACTGAAGAATAGAAAAAGGAAAATACCTGTCTGCAAAACATCATGAAGATTTTATTCATCAACCTCCTGTTCTGTCCTCTCTCACACTATCACAGAAATAAATCGTTCCCTATAGTCCTCACCTTCACATGACAAAACACCTGGGAAAGATACACCCTATCCATCCTCCCCTCATAAACCTCCAGAGACCCTGTTCCTGTATTTCCCTCCATCTATATCCCTAACCTATATCCTTCAGTAACTCTAATCCGCTCCTGCCTTCATCAAATCTGACCTTGTCTCCTTCAAAGGTCAAACAGCTGTAATGTAGCAATGGCTGTAGAGAGGGATGGGAGGATGGAAGCAGAGGTGTAGAGAAGGAGGAGGGGAGAGAGACAAAAATGGAGAGGTATGAGTGGGAGAGGGAGTTCAGGCTTTGGCATGGAGGAGGGAGAAAGGGGGAGGACAGGAGAAGGGAGCTGGAGGAGGAGGAGACGATGGACAGGGGGAGAGATATTGCAAGAGAGGAGGGAGAGACGGGATAAAGGGAAAAAAAATCCCCACATCAGCATTCCTCTTCGTCTCTAAGGGGAGCAGCGGGAGAGAAGAGAGGGAGGGGGGAAAGAATGAAAGGTGATAATAAATGGGCAGAATCAGACGGAGGGAACGAGGGAGGGGAGGAGAATGGGGAGGTGGTGTTAGTCTGTCAGGGAGGAATGGGAGAAAAAGGACAGAAAACATGAAGGGGAGGGAACGTCTCTTCTCCTTATTCAAAGTAATTGTGCTGATTGTTTCTTGACTCGCGACGTTGGTAAACAATAGAGGCATGTGTGTGTGTGGGTCTGAGAGTGTGATAAATATAGATACAGAACACCCCCGTATGGCTCCAGAGATAACACTGCACACATGCCAAACAAACAACAATAGTACTATACTAGTACTATCCAAATAACAGGAATTGTTAAGATCCCATTAGCCACTCTATTGCAAAAGGGGCTACTCTTCCTGGGGTCCCTGCAAATTTTCTATACAGTACTTCAATAACAGAGAAATGTTAACACACATCAATATTATAAAAGACTCGCAACATATATTGTAATGACTACGACACACAACAACAAACACTAAATAAAACCCTCTCTAACAAATGATTCATCAATTTAAATAAAGAAACCTCCCCATCACGTCTTCAAGATCAACAAAATGTGTTTTGTTGTGCTCTGCACTATTTCTTGAATGAACAAATACAGTCTTATTTTCTAAAATTTCAAACCTTGAGGATAAAGGTCAAATGTGTCACAACACACATTTATAAATGACGTGATGTTAAAGCGGTGCAGAGGAAGTTATGTTTTTGTTTCTCAATGAATATCTTATGTAATCTTTCTGAATATAAAACTGTTTTTGAGATTGGTCTGTCTCCAGTCCCCAGTAAAACATGAGAGCCTGCAGCAGCGCAGTTAAGGCTTTAGCCAGTGCACAGCATAGCTCTGCTTTTTAAAGAACATCGATATCAGTACAGACTGGAGGCTGCAGCCACCACCGCACAATCAATAATTCACAAACCTCCTTTATACGTGTGAATCACCAAAGGCTTCATTGTCTGTGTGGTTAAAGGTCTTTGTGTCCAGTCTGTTGATCGGCTTCACACTCACTTTAACTGTCCGTGTGTCTTTTAGTAGTTTGATGTCTGTCTATATTCAGTTTCTCATTCATTCTCTCATACTTGAATTCTCCTGTTTATACTGTATTATTATCAAAAGGTAGGAACACAGATGAGTGAGACATTCCTGTGTGGAGGGGCAGACACACAAACACAGCTCCCTGAATCATATCAGCTATGTGAAGAATTCCCCTCTCTGCAGGTTTAGCGTAACTCAACACAACAGACCCAAACACAGCTTATGAAACCATGTTACTCAGACTATCAGCAAACACACTCAGCGTGGAAGTCATCCGGTCACTCAACGGGCTAAATACATCTACTCATAGAGGTCACATTTGTACATACACGCAGTACTTTTTACTTCAATGCATCTGGTTTGTTGGCGGAGTGGAAATTCTTAGAAGTTGTTCGGACAATACGTAACTTGAGGTTGGAGTTAGTTTGGATTGATGCAGAATCATAAGTACAACAAAAGAGGAATAGTGTTAAAAATATCTTGTTCCTTTGATTCAAAGTCCAAACAACCCTGTATATGTAGAAACACGGAGAGAGGCCAACTGCATGTTCCATGGAGCTTCAAAACACCAAGCTTAACATTCTGTTGCTGCTAACAGCAAGCAAACTCCAATAAAGATACAGAAAACCAAAATCTAGACAACATTGCACTTTGAATATGCCTCTTTGACTGTTTGGTAGCTTTTAGCATCCATGTTAGAGGGTATAACACTTCCACAACAACACAGACGCAAAACATATGATACAATCAACTATAGAAATATGATAATATGAATAAACAGAGCATTTCTTCAGTATTAAAAATCCTTCTAGCACTTTCACATAAGTTAGGAGTTAACTCTCATTAAAAAGATTCTTGGCAATGAGTATGATATAAGAAAATAAAGAGAACATAGTTAAAGGAGTATTTGAATTTTCTGATAGTATCAACAATCTCATTCGTTTCACTTCCCAAAGCTCATGACCACAGGTTATGGTTGGAATGAAACATTGAATGGTGAATTCATCAAGATAGTCAGGTGCAAAAACTATGTCATTGTGAACTAGCACCTGCCAAACACCCATTTCACACCCACTGATTAACAAGAAAGGCAACAAAGCAATTTTCTTTCACCTCTCCACTCATCCACTTTGCTTAGGCAAAGCAGCTGCCTGTCTACTGCTGTAAAGTCAGCATCCCAGTCAGCCACAGCCATCCATCTATCTATTATCTATCCGGCTTGTCCTGTGAGGATTGCAGGGACCAGTACACATCCACAAACGGCAAACTTGCAGTTGTACCGAGGGGAAAACACAGTCGGGTCAGGCTGGAGAAGACAGACCAAGATCCCCTACCAGATACCCAGCCATCCATCCAAGCCTGACCCACAACAGGGGCCAAGGCCTGGGCCACAGCCATGACAATCAGACATAAGGGAAAAACTATAATGAGCAGAAGCAAGAGAGAGAAAGAGATAGAGAAGGGGAAGGATGGAAAGACCTCAATTTCCGCTTTTTTCTCAGGCTTGACTGCTGAGACAGCGGCCTTCAGGACACAGTGGCGAGGTCATTTTCACTTTGTTCAGAGCGAAGATCAATTTGTTCTTTATTTATTTCATTTCTAGAAAGAGCGCAACGCCAACTCTTTTTTGTTTATTTTCACTTCAGCTGGCACTCACATCAAGTTTGAGTCTTTCATTGCAGTGCTTCTGACTGCTTCCTGGCTATGCTTCCTGGAACACAAAAATGTCCCTGGAGTGGCAGCAGAGAGGCAGAAACAAAGTCAACATGAGACGAGGACAGAGAAGGGCTCTCCGGAGGCTCCCACACAAAGTGAGCACATAAACACTGTTTTCTTCAAAGGGCCAAAGGGACAGCGGCTCTAAACAGGGATCTGGCTGGACCTCTGTGGTAAGCGGAAATTTCCACTTAGCTCAAAACTAGACACTATACAACTTAACTTGTACAAGTCATCTGCTTCAACAAGACGGGTTTACTAAAGAGCCTCCACAGTGGATGACCTCTGGGGGTTAGAAGACACAAGTAAACGCTGACGAACAGCATTTTCACAGGCCAGAGTTTGGATAATTTAATCCTACCTTGTCTATCTCCTGCTGCAGGACCTGTTTGGCGACCTCCAGATCCTGCAGTCGGACCCTCAGCTCCTCGTTCTCCTTATCCAGACGACTCCTCTTCTTCTCCACGCTGTCCAACTGACTGTGGAGACAGATGGACACGTCCTTGGCCACCTGAGAGGATTAACAAGGGAGGAATGGAGGAAAAGGAGTTAAGTTCAATGTCTGTAACAAAACATTTTCCTCCAAAATCAGTTCTCTGAATAACAACGGGCAGTTTTCTAAAGATCATAAAGCTTGTGAATGTCCTGCAAAAAGGTTTATAGATTATCTATTGCCAGAGTAAACGTTCAGAATATTAGAGATGTGAATATTATCATTAATGCCATTGATGAAGGAGCATGGAGATTCTCAGGTGGCTCCTAGAGGAAGATTACAGAGACAGTTCTACAATTTGTCATGTTAATAAAGTTTGCACAAGCCGGTGCTTTTGTTTTGCTTTGCTTTTTTTCCGGTGGTTTTGTATTTTTCTCAGCGGTGACACCAGAGGGGAAACGCACTGAGTGTGCATGCCTCAAACACGAGGGAGGTTAAAATGGTCAAGGTAACACACAGACATTTAAAAAAAGCGTTTGAATTACATCATCACGATCGATGAATCGTTACACCCGTATTAGAGGCAGTGGAAGTTTTCTTTATCAGTTTATCAAGGTTGAAGACCATTTGAAGAGAAAATAAATGTGAAAAAGACAAACATTTCCATTAAAAAAGTGATTTACATCATATTGTTTACATCTCTTTCCAAACTTCATGCATGTTTTAGAATTCAGGTTTTATGAAAATCTTGAAAAACAACTGTATTGACTGTGTTCTTGTGTTTTCATGATCCCCTTTGTTCATTCCTAGGAAAGCAGTTTTGGCACACTCTTCCAAGTCAGCAATGCCCTTCTACACTTTTTATTTCAGCTTCACATTACTAACAAAATCCAAAACTAGGAGTGGCCCAGTATTTTCTACTGTGCAAGTATCATTGATATTCTAAATGATGTATGTGCATGACTCAGATTTTCTAAAACTAAAAACACAAGCTTGTGCTATGAGTAAATCTTGTAGTAAGCAGTCCTTAATTCACCAGTGATGACAACAGTAGCCTTTAAACAGTCATCGTGGCATATTGCTGCACGGGAGATTTCTCTTCATGCTGCTGATCTCTGTTCAGGTGAAACAGAATCCGGGCTCGGTTTCAAATCACTTCGAGGCATCAGAATCCTGCCAGAGCACACGGCACCAGTTAAAAGCCGTTTGTTTTAGCTGAGTCTGTGAAGTGAGTCAGTGTCTGTATCAGGAGCAGCTTTCTGCATGTGCACCTCAGTGTGCATGGGACTGATATTCTTTATCTAATAAAGCCAAGAAGATAATTAATAGCACTCTGGCTGATCTTTCATACATAATGTGATCTAAGGAAAGCCTGATTATTCCTCCTAACACCCCACCCCCACCCCACCCCGAGGGCATTCATTCATTAAAAGTTTTCAATGTCAGAAGTCAAACAAAAGTCACACCTCTGATGACTGATATGAATACTGCAGCAAAAAAAGAAACATTGTCTCATATGTTGTTAAAATGCTCGAAAAGGCTATTTTTTAAAAATGTTTCACTATTTATAATAAGTATTATTATCTACTATCTATTATCTAAAAAAAAATTAAAACTTGAATTTTCTTCCAGATCAGAAAAGTATCTATCTATCTATCTATTGCTTTTTGCTACATTATAGGAGCTGTGTTTCCGAGCAGAACCAATGGTCCATGAAGAAAGTGGTTGTGCCACATAAACATAGTTCTGCAATGTTCTGTGAATCCAGGTTTAATGTCTTGATGGCAAATCATTTAAACCATTCCAACCAGTTTTCTGCCGTGTTTTGGTTAAACCAAATATTAAACCAGGGTGATTATCTTTGTAACTTGTGTTGTTCTGGACAGTGGACATATATATCTACAGACTTTAAGGCACAAGGCAGCAATGAAAAGGGCATAAAACCTAATATTCAGAGCCATAATCTTTGGTCCCTGGTACTGTTGCTGTTTATGCTGCTTCACAACCAGCATCAATTGTTCCTTTTCCGTGACGTGAGCCTCTTTTTTATGTCATATACAGTTTACATCTAGATTTAAATTAAGGCTGAAAGACACCCAAAAAATATCTTTTAATATTGTTTTTAAGAAAACATAAATACTGGATTTGATGCAGTAATCAAAATAAACAATTTTAGGGCTGTACCTAAAATCAGCATTATTTTCTAGCTACAAGCTAAACCCTGTAATTTCCAGCACTTTTTACATCACAAATGACTGGAATTATTATCATACTAATGGAAGATTAATTTTCTGTCAATTGACTTAACAATTTATCAGCAATTTACATCATTGATCATTTCAGCTACAGTACATACAATTTATTGGAATAACGTTTTTTAAAGTAATCAATTAAACTGTGTGTTAATGAAAAAACATCTGCACCGACAGAAACAGAAACTGAACCATCTGAAAACAAACAAAAAAAGAACTGGACAGATGTTCAGCAGCTGTATCACACACGATCTGAGCCTTTTCGTTGTTAGAAAAGATAAAGTACAGATTAAAGAGCTCATTTGCTGTAATAGAACAATCTATTTTCACTTAAAACTGATTGCTTTGGCTGAATTGAAATTAAAAAACATGGGTTTTTGTTCTAATTAGATGAGATGAAAGAAACTTTAATGATTCTAAATGGATATAGTTGCTTTTGGAGAAAAACACTTGTGTTAAATCACTCTGTAGCTCATAAAGGTACTAGACCCTGTTAACCTCTACTGATTTAATCTAGTGGGAGGGCAGAGATGTCATCTGATGATTTCAGTCTTGATATTGTTAGATTTTACTGTAATGTTAACAATTAGTGAATGTGGGCTTTATTATTCACAATAATATTGGTCAAACTGTATTATTCGTTAACACACATTATATATTGTAATTTGTTTACAATAAACTATTCTCTTATGTTAATGTTTATGTTATTCCTAACAGTATATGGAGCAAACTGAATAGTAACGGCAGCTCTGGCATAATCACCATAATTAACACTTTTACAACTTATAATTACATGTGACTGGTCGTTGTAATTCTGTGTATTTATTGTGTGCCAGTGTTTGTGTGTGTATTTGAACGATTGCCACTGTGCAGCTGCGTCCCACAATGCCTCTCTGTCCTGCCCTTTCTCATTCTTTTCAATCGCTCTCTCAGCTCCACCACGCTCCAATTCATGTTTTAGCATGTATGTGTGTGTGTGTGTGTTTCCTCTTCACTATCTGTACACCTCCTGTGCTTCTCTCCGTCAGATCCTCTCTTGTTCCTGAACCGTTCCCCTTGTACTTATTTCTGTGACAGTCCTCCATCTCTTTCTCCATTTGTTGGTCTTTCTGCTCATCCTCTTTTCATTTCTTCTTTGTTTCATCTAACAGCCACTCTCTTCCCACTCATACTCTAATCAATGTAAGTATGCACCTCATTGTTTTGGTAACAATCCTCTGAATACTATGTTGTTTTGATACCTTCTGTCATTAGCAGTCCAAGCTCATTACAAAGCTTTTCTATTTGCTGATATAAACCCTAATATAAACAATTCCATAATATATATGCTAGAATATAGAAATGTTGAAAGTGCAGGCAAGCAGCATTGAGAAAATAAACGAATTATAAACTATGTTCCTTTTGATATCAATGAATCTGTATATAATCTGCTGATATTTTCAATGTCATTGGCACAGGGTCCTCAAAACACAAAACGTTTAAATGTGTTGTACATATTCTTTCGTTTAAAATTGTTGGTCCTTGTTTTTCATAAATATAAAAAAAAATTCTTAAATCAACATATTTTCTTCAATCTATTTCTTTGCTGAATCACAGCAGCTAGCAAACAAAACCCAATAAAACAATGCAAAATTGGCAGCATGTACAGTTTGGCACACCAGTGATTGGTTAGGACAAAAGAAAACAACTTCTTGATCTTGACTGCTGCATGTGTTTCAATGAAATGAGACCGTGCACATTTGCTGCATTCTCTGCACACGTGTATTGTACAACTCTCTAATGCAGTGCACATGCCTAAACCTAAACTTTGACTGCAGCCTCTACACTAAACTGACAGCTGTGTGTTGTGGTTCATGTGGGATTAAACATGTGATATGACGTACATTTTATCCACAGAGTTGTCAACCCTCCCACCCAAAATTTTGGATTGGCAGATGATCTCTGTGAGAAAGGATGCAGAAAAAAGGCAAACATTTTTGAGACATTTGTGCACAACAATTTTCTCCCTCAGCCTCAAGCAGATCACAATCAGGACACATCAGCCTGTGGTCACCAAAGAGCAGTGCACAGCCTTAATGTGTCCACTGAAAGCACCCAGAGCTTTATGTGGATTGAATCGGACGGAAACTGTGATGGATTAACACTGTGCGCTCAATTTTGATCGCTGCATCAATACTGTAGAAAGAAAACAGCTTTCGTTAATGGTGTTTTCACCATGGCTGGTTTATGGGCTTCTGTTTCTCCTCATTTATCTTCCTCTTCTCCTCATTCTCCCTCTTTTCATCCCCCTCAACTCTATAATGTTCTCCTCTTCACCCTTTAAGTCCTATTAAACGCTGTATTGTTCCTCTATGTTGAAGGGAAACGTGAAGGAATTTGACACCATTGAAGCTATGCTGTTTTACCCAGCAACAGATCTATAGGATGTAATTAAGATTCAGTCAGTGTGCTGGGTGAGAGTGTGTGTGTGTGTATGTAGCTGCTTTCAGATATGCACTGGATTCCACACTTGCTCCGTATTTTCTCTAGAGTGTGAACGCAAATATCCGAGTGAGAAGCTCCGCAGTTTCTACAGACTTTCTTCACCTTGCCAGGAGAAGTGTGAACACAGGGGAGCCCGCTGGATTCACCAAGAGCAAGTGGGGGGGNGGGGGGGGGGGGATTGATGACACTACTAACACACAACAGACACAAAAAAAAGGAAACAAATATCTCCTTGTGAAAAAGCAGCGTCAGAAACAGATGAAGATGTCAACAGAGTTTGTGATGAGAAAAACGGACAACAGTGTTTTAAAAAAAATCACGTGATCTCCGCAGCGGAGTTAA